GCAGCGTTCCTCACTCTGAGGACAGCGTTCCTCATTCTGAGGGCAGCGTTCCTCACTCTGAGGACAGCGTTCCTCACTCTGATGACAGCGTTCCACATACTGAGGACAGCGTTGCTCACACTGAGGACAGCGTTCCTCACTCTGAGGACAACTTTCCTCACTTTGAGGACAGCGTTCCTCACTCTGAGGACAGCGTTCCTCACTCTGAGGACAGCGTTCCTCACTCTGAGGACAGCGTTCCTCACTCTGAGGACAGCGTTCCTCACTGTGAGGACAGCGTTCCTAACTCTGAGTAAAGCGTTCCTCACTCTGAGGACAGCGTTCTCACTCTGAGTAAAGCGTTCTTCACTCTGCGGAGATCGTTCCTCACTCTGAGGACGGCGTTCCTCACTCTGAGGAAGCGTTCCTCACGCTGAGGACAGCGTTCCTCACTCTGAGGACAACGTTCCTCACTCTGAGGACAGCGTTCCTCACTCTGAGGACAGTGTTCCTCACTCTCAGGACAGCGTTCCTCTCTCTGAGGACAGCGTTCCTCTCTCTGAGTAAAGCTTTCCTTACTCTGAGGACAGCGTTCCTCACTCTGAGGACAGCGTTCCTCACTCTGAGGACAGCGTTCCTCACTCTGAGGACAGCGTTCCTCACTTTGAGGACAGCGTTCTTCACACTGAGGACAGCGTTCCTCACTCTGAGGACAGCGCTCCTCACACTGAGAACAGCGTTCGTCACTCTGAGGACAGCGTTCCTCACTCTGAGGACAGCGTTCCTCACTCTGAGGAAAGCGTTCCTCACTCTGAGGACAGCGTTCCTCACTGTGAGGACAGCGTTCCACACTCCGAGGACAACGTTCCTCACTCTGAGGACAGCGTTCCTCACTCTGAGGACAGCGTTCCTCACTCTGAGGACAGCGTTCCTTACTCTGAGGACAGCGTTCCTCACTCTGAGGACAGCGTTCCTCACTCTGAGGACAGCGTTCCTCACTCTGAGGACAGCGTTCCTCACTCTGAGGACAGCGTTGCTCACTCCGAAGACAGCGTTCCTCACTCTGAGGACAGCGTTCCTCACTGTGAGGACAGCGTTCCTCACACTGAGGACAGCGTTCCTCACACTGACGACAGCGTTCCTCACTCTGAAGAAAGCGTTCCTCACTCTGAGGAAAGCGTTCCTCACTCTGAGGACAGCGTTCCTCACTCTGAGGACAGCGTTCCTCACTCTGAGGACAGCGTTCCTCACTCTGAGGACAGCGTTCCTCACTCTGAGGACAGCGTGCCTCACTCTGAGGACAGCGTGCCTCACTCTGGGATCTCTTAACGGCTCGAGACATACAGAACATTGTAGATTTTCTTGAAGCTGGTTAATGGAGTCGATTTCCAGGGCATGAACCATTTGAAATGGGGAAATTTCGTAGCAAATTCTCCGTACACTGGAAAGCTTTGGTGGTATGTAGATTCCAAGCTGCAGCCACAGCATGAAACCCTGTTGTGGAGCATTGTAAATATAAACGCATGACGAACCTTTTTGTATTTGTTCTAAGAAGCGAAATTCCTTGTAAACCAATCATGCATGTTATCAACCTATTCTAGTAAATAACCAGAAAATGCCAAGCGCAGTTTTTCCACATTTTTTATTGATTTCGTGTTTATTCCCTTTCGCACTGGGTCCAATTAATTATTAGACACGAAATTACCATCACTTAAAAACGTAATGAAATGTTAAAATGTTAATATGCTAAATGTTTAAAATACTAAAAGTTCTAAAATTCTAAAAATCCCTTTCGACACTCGTTATATCAATTGGCGTTAACTAGTTTCGTCGTTAGACCTCTTCAGAACTCGCCATTTTGTTTATAGAAACAAAATGGCGAGTTCTGAAGAGGTCTAACGACGAAACTAGTTAACGCCAATTGATATAACGAGTGTCGAAAGGGATTTTTAGAATTTTAGAACTTTTAGTATTTTAAACATTTAGCATATTAACATTTTAACATTTCATTACGTTTTTAAGTGATGCTTAGCAAACCTTTCTTGGAGAAAATTCGCGAAATTTGAAATACACGAAATTACCATCACTGGTTATGATGTATATTTATGATCTCTATATTTTAATTAATACCTAAAATAATTATTTATAATCATTATCTATAATCAGTAAATTCAATATCTATAATCGATAATTATCATCGATCGTTATTTATATTCATATATTATAGCTAATTCTACTGAGAACTTTTGTTTGATACTGTTAGTATAAAGTTTTTGTTTCTTCCGCAAATCATTTTGGTAAAATATCTCATTTTGGTCATTTTTAATTTTCTTTTTATATAACAAAAATTTCGCTGACTGGGTATTTTAAGCCAGCAGCAATCAAATGTGTTGATTGAAACAGTTGCTATTTTAATTTACTGTACCTTGACGATTATTTCTTAATTTAGGAAGTCAAAATAATAAATCATCTCGCCCGACGCATTAGTACGATTAGACAATCTCCCAGAATGGTGAACAGACTTATCACTGCATGTGATTTGCGCGCAATGTCAATCAAACTTTATCTAAATAGCCATAGGCCTATATCTTGATGTAATTGTGTGAAAATCAACTCAATTGGCTCTTAATAGGATTCTCACCATCAGTGTATGTGAAATATTATCCTCGTGAGAAAATTGGAATATGTGTCATAATGTGTGCAAGCGCAGGCCGGTCTAGACTTAAAGCTTGCTACAAGTTGATTCAAATTCTAACAACCGCAAAGTAACGAGTAAAACAAGTGGGCGAATGAACGGAACGAATGAGCGAGAGGCCGAGAGCGAGTCGACTTGTCGCGCATCCAGGAAATTCCATGACAGACAGTACCGTAATTTAAATCTCAGAAATATTTAAAATTTCCGCACAATGTTTCCTCACATCTGCATGTTTCACTTAAAGTCATAATTCATGGCCATCTCGCAAATCTGTTTCGCTAAAACGCTCTACGTGATTCGAGTCGGTAAAAATTGGCGTGCTTCAAGAGCGATAAAGTCGACGCGACAAACCCGCAAGTAACATGAGAAATTTGGTTTAACCGCCCAGCTGAATAATACGAGTCGACTTTTATGTCGACAATATATAGCAGTAGGAAGATATTTTAGGTAAAGGGGTAAATATAAATCACGTTTCACAACACTGAAGATTCTGTCGTCTCATATTTCACACGAACATACAAATATTGGAAATTCACGGCTCACGAACTAATACATAGCTACCCTTTATTAATTACATGCTGCAGACTCTTCAAATTGTCGGTTAAAATTAGTCGATACATATGTTTCATAGAGTGATCAGAGTATGTAAACATTGTGATCTAAATGAGATTGGAGACGAACAACATTTTTTAATGTCAATAGTCAATACTAAAACTGTCTGTACCAGTGTAGGTAGTACCAATGTGAAAATGCTGTGCTGAGTGGTTATATTACTACCTTAAAAAACAAGCAGAAACTCGACGTTTCGAAGGGCTTTCGCTCGAAACGTCGAGTTTCTGCTTTTTTGTTTTTTTTTAATGTAGTAATTAATATAACCACTCAGCACAGCATATTTTAATGTCCTGCAGCACACAAACCTCAGCAATCTTAGAATTCATTTTATAAATAATCTTTGTAAAATAAATTCTTCGTTCTCTTCATTTAATCATCAAGATATTTTTACTTATATAATGACTAAGAAGACGAAAGCAATGATGACTCTAGACAATTTTTGAAACTCGTTCAAAGTATAGCCAGGCTATATCATAACTATCAGTTTGTTCCTTATTAATAATGTAATCTTGATTTCTTGTGATTTTTACATATACCGACACTGGTATTTATATTTTATTAAATATTATTATTATTATCATTTAAAAGAACTTCAAAGATCGCTGAGAACCCTGTATAGTTATATACGTCACATAAACGATCGACTCACAAACGACCCACGCATGATGCATGTCTAAACATGACAGAACGTAATACAATAATGTATACTGTATATACCAATTTTTTGGAGTAAATCATGCAATAACCATTCCGTATGTCTATAATCACCACAGAGGAGAGCAATTTGGACTATATTAAGACAAACCATTTTTAATTTGTCTTTATTAGAGGAATGACGACAGGATCTCAGAGTGAGACCATTTCCTTGTGATAAACCCTTTTCCTGTTATTCATTTGTGCGAGCACCGTTTTCCGTTTTCGAATAATCCCGATTTGATTTCCCAGGGTTTAGCTGATATATAAAATAATTACAAGTTCATAAATCGCTTCAGTAGTGGTGTGAACGCTGGCGTTGATGGTAGTTCAAATAAATCAGGATTCCTTGATATAAAGCATACTAACATCGAACTGATTTAGTCTGTGCTTAAACCGGGCTATAGTCTGAAGATACTTGTGCGTGTACCAGTGCGTGTACTGCAGTTTTAAAGCCATTAAAGTCCTTTGGCGAAGCTCAAAAGTCGAAATATTGTGACGTATTGAAACATGATCATGAACTGCATTTCGGCAAACTGGATTGCGTCTGCCTGCGGAAAATTCAATAAGCTTAACAAGGTAGGCTAAAATAAATTTTCCAGTGTATATATAATTTTTTTCTGTGTTGGTGTTGTGTACTCAGGTGAATATGATGTTTATGATGTTACTGTGAGTGTATATCCACACCGGGCAAGCTTGAAAAATATGCCTGGCCACGGTGGTTTTCAAGCTTGTCAGCCGGTGTGGATATACTGGCACTCAGAGTAATATCATAATTTTTTACTTATTGAATGTAGCAATGCAGTGATCAACTTTTTTCAAAATATAGGCGATACACATATGTATAAGCCTTATTGCCCTATGCTTAGTATTGTATTGTATTGTCTTGCGCAGAACGGCCCGTATTAAAATAAAACATTTTACTTTGTCTATGATTTTACCAAACAGTAAATTGTTGTACGCGATGTTGTAAATCGCAAAATGTGCGAATAAGCTAGGTCGTAGTTGCGACTTACCGCACTCGCGCTTGAAAGTCAAACAAAGTGTGTCGAAGTATTTAGTGTAATATTGGATTGGTTTAAGTGACCACCCATCCTGATTATTGCATATTTGTACAGAGGTTAGGTCATATAAACTATTCGTCTATATAACTAAGGAAATAGAATAATATTATGTCTGTAATATCTGGACGTGTTTCCGCTTATTTTCGCCATCCGTATTTCGATATATGCGCATCATATTCTAATTTAGTGTATATTATTTCCTGAAGTCGGGCACAGTAGAATAATATTACTTCAGTAATATCTGGCCATGTTCCCGTTCAATTTCGCCATCCGTATTTCGATACATGCGCAGCATATTCTAATTTAGTGTGTATTATTTCCTGAAGTCGGGCGCATTCAGTTTGCGCGATTAATTAATTTGAATGTAAAGGTATGAACAAATGTACTGATCTTGTATTTACATAACACACCTAATACAGAATGTGATGAATGTCATCGCCAGATTATCATTGGCGTGGGAATATTAGCCTGCTCCCAAATTCAAGCCGTTCGAGCAGTACATGTAGAAATACATGTAGAAAGTATTTTATAGTCCAACATTTATTACACACACTAACGGCCACTTTTGATAAAATTCTGAAATAATAATTGAAGAAATTTGAGATTATCTAATACATAATATTAAAACGCATATTATAGAAGAAAACATAAACCTGATCCAAAATTTGGATAGAGAGCAGGCTAGAAGCTGGTGTGAACCCAGTGTCTATATTGGAACAGTGTCCGCATTAAAGAGCTTCCCCTTACAACACAAAATATATGATAATTTCGACGAATCATATCATGCTCAAATTGTCCGTAATAGGGTGGGGTCATAACTGTGGTATTACATTGTAATACCACACCTCGTAAGTGGTTAGTGGGTTAGGGCGTTAGACATCCTGGGTGTAGCCAAAAGTGTCCTCGCCTATAACACCCAACCTACATTACATGCTGCGCAGTCTGGAGTACCAATATTCGTACTGTATACAATGAAGTACGAATATTTTTTATCGTTTTCACTCACTCGCCGAAAAATTTCGATGGATACATTTTTAGCTTCGATGAAGCATGTAGGATGCAAGTCTCAGTCTTTTGTGCCGTATTAATTATAGTTTGTAACTTCATTCGAAAAATTCGTCAAGAAAACGTGAGAGAATCATAACCGTGAAGGAGCTTGTATATCTCCTGGACAATCCTGTTGATTTACATAACTTTTAACATTTCTAGCAGAAGGATACGAACGTTTTCTCTGTAGACGAACCACGAGCTATGTCTGACATTAATCGCTTTCTCGAGTCGTATTTATGAATCCAACACAACACGGCTGAATGCTTATGTATTTTTGAAAAAATGTCTTCACTTTTTGTAAAACTCATAAATAATTCACGAAGAAAATTGAAAAGAAATCAATGTCTAATGAAGTGTTTGAAATAGGTTTCATAAGTGTGCGAACTGCTACTTTATTTAGTTCGACGTCATGTGAATTCACTGACTATTGGCTACTTAAGGATTGTTTGTAAAAAAACGTAGCTATATAAGTATACTTTTATTGCTAAAAAAAGATATTAAGTATTTTGTTAATGTATTCTTTGGCTCAAATTATTGGACTAGTGCTAATCCGAGTATCCGACATTTGGATTTGGATTTGAGAATTAAAAAATTAAAAAACAATTTAAATAGTGTCCGGCGAATCTATATAATGAGTATAATGTGAACGAGATCAATCAAAGGCAAAAACATGTTACATAAGATTCAGCTATGAAAAATTCAGAGTCGGAGTATAGGCCTTAGCCTATTAAGTAGTATCAATGAAAGGTTCTTTGCATGTAGCAAAACAATAACAATGTCAATGCATTGAATGCGCTGCTCGTAGACCACATGTCGCCATAGCATGCCCACGCAATTTTCAGGGCATTTAAAAAGAATGATCCCCCGCTATTTCGAATCATTACTCAATTCAGGAATTACAACCTGGCTCCAAGGAGTGCTTATGTGAATTGTCGGTTAACCCAGATCACGGTGGGCGTGTTTAAATCACTTCCTCTTGCAAACATCAAGGAGTAAATTGCCATTGAAATTTCCATTATCGTGCCACTAGCGCCTTCATTTAAAAGGGGGAATTTGCGCATTTAATCATAAAATGCGTGATTATAAAAGTCAATGAAATATATGATTAAAATCATGTACATTCAGAAAATAATCTCATCATTAGATCATTATAACTTTATAATTGTGGTATAAGAGTGTTATTTTTGCAAATAATGCTATATAAATAACTATTTTATATTATTTTGATGTTTTTAATGGCAAACATTTTATGACGTATATTGATAATATACATTTTATGAGGAATATTTGATACTGGAATTATCGCGCGAATTATAAAAGCGCATGCATTGCTACGTACGACAGCGTGCGAATCTGGACAAAAAAAACATTGTCAATATATAATAATGACGTCAGCGAAAGTATATACTAACCGGTATATACTAAAAAACATAGAACTCCAAAGGCTGTACGTAATTATGGTTGATGACGACAAATTGTTTTTAGAAAAAATGTATTAAGAGCATGCATCCGCATGGGCCGGAGTTATTAAAGGTAGCCAAAGTGCCAAACATGGTTAAATATAGCTGGTTTTCAACAAACATATTTCATTATCAGATCGATTCTATAGTTGTTTCTGTAAACCATTACTGAAAAATCGCATCGGATTGCTTTCATTGGCGAAACCGACCTATTAATAATAGTGCCCACGCGTTTTTTGCAACCGCAGACAACATATATAGTCTTACTTGTGTTCACATTAATCCGAACTCAACCCGGTCTGAAGATAGTCCAGCGAGCGGGATGACTTTAGACCGGTCTGAGCAATTTTCGTCCCGGCTCATGTAAGGCCCCGTTAACATGAGACCGGGACGAAGTCAAATCAGAATGAAAATTGAAAATCACAAAAGTTTCAATTTATTCCCCCGGCCAGGCAATCTTTTTTAGATGGCTTTTGTTAGCATGTGTTGTTCGAATGTCATTAAGGTTACAGCCGAAACCGGTCTCAAATGTATTTGTGTTTACATTCATCCCAGTCTCACTCTGAATTCATGCCGGTCTGAAGTCAGTCGGCTCGGTCCAACCTCGTTGGGCTCGGTCCAGCAAGCATGAATCTTGTTCTCCGAGCCTGCGATCCTCGGGAAGGAACGCGAGGCTCTGGGATAATCCGTTGCCGGAAGCCAGAAATCCTGGCTAAGATTGAACTACGCATCCCATTTCAACGGCCAATCAGATTCCTCCCTGAAACGTATTATCCCAGAGCCTCGCGTTCCTTCCCGAGGATTGCAGGCTAGGGGAACGAGATTGTCCAGCAAGCGGAATGACTTGAGACCGGTCTCGATTATTTTCGTCCCGGTATCATGTAAACATCTATTATATTAATAATACTATAAGACCGAAACGAAATGGTCCCGGTTTGATTTCGTTCCTGTCTCATGTAAACAGGCCCTTATAGTCTAATCAAACGTTTTCTCCTTGTTAAAACGTTTATTTTAAATTTATATTCATGTATATTTTATCATTCTTTACTCATTTTTCATTTTTTCATTCCTGTAGATACGGTATCCGATTCTACTTTTGGTTCTTATCCATCTTATGGACGGTGGCAATGGAAAAAGCATACCAAAAGTACACTACATTCACACAAACGTCTGTCCCCACATAACTCCACAACCAAAGGTCTATCTGAGTAACATGTTCGACACGAAAGACTATTTCTTCCCACAATATTACACCGAGAGAAAATGTGTTTCGCCTAAAAGCACAAGCGGTTCGAGCCAGCCCACATGGGCGACATGTATCAACGGGCAGTACCACTGTGTTACGCGGTATAGAATGATGGAATTTCTGAGAATGCCTCATCCGGGGAATGGCACATTCGCGAGCGCATCTGTGGAGGTAGTGCCAGTCCCTGTCGCGTGCGAATGCTCGCACTTCATCGTTATTTAAATGAAGAACTTGGACTGCACATTTGGTGTTTCTTGGTACGGGGAGAATTCAGATAGGCTTCTCTAGCTGATTTAACAGCCAGCGAATGACCTGCAATTTGCAAGGAATCCAGTTTGCTGTATGATAAACAAATCCTTGTTTCTTTCTATTTTCTTTGTGGAGCAGTTTAAAACTTTGTAAATATACTGATTGTACGTTCACTGATGGAAAACTGTGTGCGAGACAAATTTAGAAAGAAAACCATCTTAATTTAATGAGACGAGTAATTTTTCTCTCATGCAAAGAATTATTCATCAATGACTGGTAATTAAAATGACATGATCGAGTATCACATTTTAAAAATAAAATACGAGGTTTGAGGGAGTGTCATGTCAGCCATACTGCATATCTCGACAACCATGGACTTAAATCGAGATTTGAATGGTGTAAATAGCATGCAAGGTTTTGTTCAAACGTCAGTCTTTTTATTGACCGAACCTATAATGCAAATTATTTCAAGAATATTAGGTTCAGTCCCGAGCGCGACGTTTGAAAAAGGCCTGATCACAGAGATTATAATTTCATCTACCGTGCATTAGTACAGGTACTAATGAATGCACTTATATACCTGAACATTGTACATATAATATAAAGTATGGATTTATGGGTGAAAATATTGACTATATAGCTATATAAAAGGTAATCATATAATAGATGGGTTAATCAATTGTTATCAAACTGTTTGTAAAAAGCTTCTAAGTTAAAAAATGTAACTGCAATTTACCGTTTAAAACGTTATAACCTTTTAAGAATGAATTAAAACTTATCGCAATACTGTGTTGATAATATAAAGCATTTGTGCTTCGGGCTTAATATAATTCTGATGCACATCTCCCAAGATCTTGAAATACATCGTTATGCAATTACAAGTCTAATTAACTATAGTAATGCGGTCATGCATTTACAACTGTGATTTAAAATTGCATGTAAAAATATCTACAGGACATGCAAGGGCAAGAATAAGCCGGAGGAAAATAATTTGGCAAAAATTATATATCTATTAACTATTTGTCCATATATATATATGACATTTTGTATTTTCATTATAATGAAAAATTAGGAACATGCATGGCGTGGATTTTCGCTGCAAAGGTATAAAAGGAATAATTTCGCACATGCGCGTTTTATTCATATCTTGCGCATGCTCTAGCAGTTCGAATGCAACCATTTAATTAGTTTCAAATGCCCTTACGTTCTGAAGCCTATATAGCTACTATTGTCAATGTCACCGCCAATCCGCAAGTTAGGCATTTTAAATAAAAAAATCATTATTATATTAAACTTCAGACCGATTTAGTATATCTGAAGAAGAATGAGACAGTAATTTCCTGTCGACTGATTACAAACATAATAATCTTACTACGCAACTGGCTAAAAATTGGCGTGATGTTTGGAGGGAAAGGCCGAAAGCCTTTTAGTTTTGCGATTGTATTTCCTGAGGGTCTGTATAGCAGGCTTCACTCGAGCGTTTTCCAATGATTAGTTCAACTTTCGAGTTTTGATTGGAAAAGAAGACATAGATATAATCATAGCTTACCAAAACTTGCGCAAAATTTTAAAGTTAGTAAAAAATATTCTTTAATTATCAAAATGCGCAAGCTCATTTCACATTTGAAAGCGCGCGTGACTGACATCTGCATATTATGTAATTACCTTTTCTAAACTAAGGACTCAATTTTTGGACTAAAACTCGTCTGGCGTTTCCATTTTAAGATGGCAATTATATCGAGTCTAGTCGCTCTAATGTTTTCCAAATCTTCTTCAGGTCATTTTAGACCACACGCGTTTACACACTACGGCCAGCATTCCGTTAACATTCACTGCGTTTATTAGGAATGTGTTTACACTATAACGGAGCGGTTTGCCGTAGCGTACCAACTACGAATCACTAAGCTATAGTGTAAGCACGGCCTAAGAATGACTAAGTCAAGCTGCTCATTGCCATGAACGTATAGTTATGGGGTTGTTTTTTTTTGTATCACTACTGACACTATAGCTATTTTCGACTGCACGAAAAGTTTAATTACAGGAAGAGCGTATACAAAATTTGTTGTTAATTATATAAAAAGAATTAAGATTACGCCAGTGTCATAGATAGCTCTAAGTACTATTTGTATCGGATATACAAACTCGAACCGAAACGTCTTGATGAGAACATTCGTATTCTTCAACAATTTAAAATAAATGAATGATGTTTGGCGAGAAAATTGAACTTAAACTGTATGTGAATCAGAATGATTTTGTATCACATATACAAACTCCTTCACGGTCATGATTTCTTTTGTGTTTTCTTCATGAATTATTAATAGTTTCACAACACTGCATGCTGTTCGTAAGTTCAACAAATGTTAATCTTCATATTAAAGTTCAATCAGTCATGTCATCTTCTCAAAAATCTTCCGTAATACCGTCTCCAGATATACAAACTCCTTCACGGTCATGATTTCTTTTGTATTTTCTTCATGAATTATTAACGAGTTTCACAACACTGCATGTTGTTCGTAAGTTCGACAAATGTTAATCTTCATATTAAAATTCAATACTAATGTCATCTTCTCAATGATCTTCCGTAATAACATCTCCTGCAGAGAACAATCATAGAACAGCAGGCATCTGATTATATATTTCCTTCCGTGTGAACACGACAATCCTATATACAGACAGCGAGCCGGACCGCAAATTTATAAGCAAGAGAAATGTGACCATATTTCAGCCAGAAGACAACACTCGTCGAAGCCGAGAGCCTGAGAAAGCGTATTTATATAATTGACAATATAGGGATAAAGCAATGAATTCAAGACCAAAGGTAAGTAAAAAAATTCCAAGAAAATAAGAATTTAAAAACAGCTTTGGAATATATGCGTCTATTTTAAGTATGGATTGATTTACAGTGATTTGGCACGTCAAGCAGTATATATAATCCCACGCTCAATGTCGGCCAACTCAAACTTTTAGGAAGGATATTTTAAATTTAAATCTTATCAGTTTGTACATTCATGGTTTAATATAAGACTAGAGTGTTTATAGGAGCGTTTTCCAAATGAAACGTTTAAGGAAGGATAATTAAAAATATTGGCCCAATACATGCAACATAGTTGGCTTCATTCAGTGATAGAGTATGTATGGTAAACATTGTGATCTATAAATGGGAATGGAGACGAACGACATTTTTTAATGCTCTGCAGCAATACAATTGCTCACCAATCTTAGAATTAATTTTATAAATAATCTTTGTAAACAAATTCTTCGTTGTCTTCATTTAATCATCAAGATTATTTAATTTATATAATGGCTATGCAAGACAAAGCAAATATGACCCTAGTTTCAAAAGATAGTTACGATGTCCTGACAATTTTTGAAACTCATTTAGGCTATCATGCTAGTAGTTTGTTCTTAATGTATCGTTGTGATTCAAAAACTTCCAATTTTCATCGTCTTTGAAATCTCAGTTGTTTTCGTGCATTTTTTTTCCAAATTGCAATCGAAACCATACGATTAGGATTATCTCTACTTATTTGCTACAATAAACACTTGGAAGAGTGTTAAATTAAATAAGTATAAATTACACAAGGCTTATGTAGCCTATATAATTGGCTTTATGCTGGTGTGGTGTTCCTGCCAAGTTTTTTTCACATATTTTTTGTTAAATACTCGTAATCACTGTTAATTGGTGAAGTTATTAAAATTAAAATAAGCTTACATCGTTAATACCAAGCAATTCACAACTTTTGAAAGCTCACATGATCAGTTACTATTAATTGTTCTAGGCAAAAGCATGCATAGAATATATAGAAGAGAGGTAACTATATAAGTATAGACATATTCATACGAGTTATTCGTTCATATATAATTCTAATGTACTTTTTTGCCTCAAAAGTTTGCAACTACAGCCTGTTTCGTCCAAGAGGAATCATGGATGAAACATGCAGTCTGTATAGTCTAGAGGTAAAAAAAACTATACTATCTGCTCTATTTACACGATATCGGGCATTCTTTAGTGTTTCGTGAACAATATTTTTTATTCATCGGGAGACGTGTTTCTCCCATTGGTCTTCTATTCATTTATTAATAAATATGATGTCGGCCAATTTCCATGAAGTCGGGAAATTTTTGTACGTCCCCCTGATTTTTTTCTCCCGTGAGCCAAGGGTTCCATTCCATGTTGGCGACATGTTAAAGTTTAATGAAGCTTATTATATACCGTTTCAAAACAAAACCATCAACTGATTATTAACACTTTTGTGCATAATCATATATTTTGCTTCCGCGTCTCCGAGAAGTATTCAATCTGTACTCCATTTTTATATTATATTTTGATCATGTAGGTGATCAGTTACGGAGATAGTTACGTTCCTGTTTCGGGAATATCCGGCCACAAAAGAAGAAAGAAAGCGATTAAGGTGAGAACTTGTTTGGAGTATGCGCGTGCCTGCATGTCTATACCATTACGATTTGGTTTGTGCTTTTGGCAGATTAGAAGTAATATATGAACAACGAGAGCGAGTGTTTTCATAATTGTTTTCGAGTGTTTGGATATGATTTGAATAGAATTCATAACCAATCATAACGTAATTAGGAATTCTATTCAAGTAATTTTGCATGCGTAATTTGATGAAAACACTAGTGACTTTCATCAAGTTTCACCGGGTTATCCAAATGGCATCTTGTGATCAAATAGATGGTTATCATTGGCTGAATTGCTCTTGAATTATTAACGAATTTGAGAAACGTAAGATGAAACTTTCATGTCTGTAGATTAGTACATATACAGGTTTCTATTATCTAGGATCGGTTACATAGACTCTAGCTCGATTCTTCGTAATGCAACCTACACGCGTAAAAACGCACAGCTTGTAACAAGTCTGCAAACAAGTTGTTACAAGTCTGTTCACAAGCTGTCAACAAGTTGTCTTCGCACTGCTTGTTCCCAGTTTGTTATAACAAGTTTGAAACAAGCTGTTAACAACTTGTAACAAGCTTGATGGCATCATCAGCCTTGTCACAAGAATGTGCTAACAAGTTTGTTACAGCCATGATATAACAAGGATGTTACAAGATTGTCAACACAAGGTTGTAACAATCTTGCTATATCAAGCATGTAACGGACTTGTCAGAACAACCTTACAACAAGTCTGATAATTTCGACAAGGTTGTTACAAGTTGTCAACAAGTTGTTCCAAACCTGTTGACAACTTGGGACAAGCAGTGCGAACACAACTTGTTGACGGCTTGTTGGCAGACTTGTTACAAGATGTGAGATTCTTACGTGTGTAGTTTACGTCACAGATTGTAGGAAATTGAATACGCACTCTCGAGCCTTGTTAAAAAGCTGCATGTGAGAATTGGTCGATAAAGGAACAATGGTAGTCCCGAGAATGTTCTAGTCATATATCATTTTATTTTGCAGGCGTTCGTGGCAATAATCTCAATCACAGCCATATTGACATACTTAAAGTTAAACCTGATCAACAAAACTCAAGCTAACAACCAGAGTACGAAGAAAAGATTTCGTCATTCAAACCCATGCCGTCACGTGACGCCCGAACCGGAAATCATGCTGCAAGAAAAATTCGACAGCGACGACTATTTTTTCCCGGATTCGTACAAAGAGCGGATATGTGCCGCGCCAAAAAAGTCGGAAAATCAAGACCAAGAGCTTAAGGAACTTCAGGCGTGCTTTACAGATTCTATAAAAGGTAGAGTGGAGCATCACCCACCATACATATACGAAAACTTGTGGTTAGAGCTCGACAACTGTCTCTCTGTAGCTCAGTTGGTTAGAGCTCGACAACTGTCTCTCTGTAGCTCAGTTGGTTAGAGCTCGACAACTGTCTCTCTGTAGCTCAGTTGGTTAGAGCTCGACAACTGCCCTCTGTAGCTCAGTTGATTAGAGCTTGACAACTGTCTCTCTGTAGCTCAGTTGGTTAGAGTTCGACAACTGCCCTCTGTAGCTCAGTTGATTAGAGCTCGAC